AAGCTTTGTCTCTTCGAGGCCAGGCAGAAAACGAAGCGATGCGTAAGTGCCATCGCGAAGCGGCACGGCAATTGTATGAAGAGCGGAACAAGCACCTCCTTACTGCCGGTTTGGATGAGTCGTCCGAAGAACTTTACGTCGACCTTCACGGCCTGCACCCTGAAGAGGCAATTGAATATTTAGAGAAGATCCTTCTGAAACATGCTCGTGAGGGACGCCGCGTGATCTACGCCATCACAGGCACGGGTCATCACTCGAAGAATGGCAAAGACAAGATCGGAAAGGCTGTCAAGGCTTGGCTCAACGAGTGGAAGTACCTCTTCCGTGAGTTTAGTGTGCCCGGGGAGAGGGGAGGATATGTAGGTGGCATCCTGGGAATCGATCCCACCAGCTATGACAAGACTCTCGCCAAAAGCCTGGAAGAGGGTGAGAATGGGAATGGCGGTGACAGCAATGGTAATCAACCCGTAATGACAATGGGCAAGATTCAATTGTTGAAGCGCGAAGATTTTGAGTCGAAGAGTTCATAATCGCGTGTCGTTCTCTTTTGAAGGACAATATGCGCTGTTTTCCGTTATTGCACTCAGGAGATGACTCGAAGGACCTCTCAATCCCAACAGCTTGACCGAAAGTTTCTTCTCACCATTATTGGGAGAGCAAAGTATGCCACCATATTCTCGCCGCACGCAGACAACGATTATGAGATTAGTTATTCTCTCCAGCACTGCTCCATGAAGAGCGCATAGTGCTTACTAGTTTGCTGTTGCTTGCTCTATGGACAGACCTGATCGCGCCTCGATCGCGATGGTACTTCATCAATTACGACGTATATACGAGTTAGATACATTTATCAAACACTCCTAACGTTATCTTCTTGTCATCAGCTATTGGAGATCAGTCATTAACCTTCCTAGTAAAGCCGCTGAGAACTTGTATGTGATGGCAAGGACCGAGATGCGAGTGGCGACAAATTCATTTTCATTCGGGCTCTTGATGCCGCCACTTATCTTGCAATTCCTCCACATCAAATCCGCAAGCCTCCGCCTTCTTCACAATCGCGCGTGCTTTCTCCGCCACAGGGATGTCAATCATCTTTCCATCTAGAGTCCAGGCGCCGCGGCCTGCCTTGGCTGCTTTCTCATCCGCAATCGTCACTCGCACAGCCCATTCGACCTCGGCCGGTTCCGGACCAAAAATACGCTGCGCCGTCTCTACTTGCGAAGGATGAATACACTGCTTCCCGTTGAATCCCAGTTGCTTTCCTCCGCGACATTCTTCCTCCAAAACCGCCGGTGGAGATCCATCACCCTTGGTAGACTTGTAGGCTGTACAAACCAGATCAATTGTAGAAGGCAGATTCGCGGCGCGAGCTGCAGTCACGATGGCGGACCGAGCGAACAAGAATTCTGTTAGAGATGGAGTGCGGGTAAGACTGAGGTCGAGGGCGAAATCCTCCGCCGCGAAAATCAGACCTTGGAGAAGTGGAGTCGCTGCACAGATCTGGGTCAAATTCGTCAGGGGTTTAGCCGACTCAACCAGAGCCAGAAGTGAAATAGGGGGCCGTGAGGCTGCATCTTGCGAGTGTGGCAGTTGCGAGAGCGTGTGGGAGATGACATCCGTGACAAAGGTGAGATCCGAGGCGGAATTGACCTTGGGGATGACGATGGTGCTCAGGTTGGGGGATTGGAGCTGTTCTTTTCGTTAGCTGGATTGTTGACTTTGGAGGACTTGAGACTTCACATACGACTTCGGTCAGATCTGCCAATGCGAGACCGCTATCTACTGAGTTGATGCGAACGGCGCGTTCGCGGATACCCGAGGGAGCGGGTTGGTCAAGCGCTCTCCGCACCAGCGAGCGAGCTTCCGCTTTCTTGTGCGGAGTTACGCTGTCTTCCAGGTCGTAGGCGACGCAATCCGCCGTCAATGAGCGGGATTTGTCAATGAAACGCTGGGAAGATCCGGGAACTGTCAATAGGTGTCAGCAAGAAGTATTACTGAAGATCGTGGTCGTGTCGTATGTGCCAAGAAAGGGGATGCTCGTCTGCGGGGAGAGCTTGTTCTGTGGATTAACGTACTGTATAGAAGGGCGCGACGGAGGGTATTCCTCGACGCCATTGCTGTCAGGAATATATATATGATTTAAATCAAGACGATATGCGCGGAGTAATTCGGTGTCTTCGAAGCACTTATTGCCAGCTGAAAAGCAGGCCAGGATGACAAGGATATTGCTGTGCTATATCCTCCGGCTGCGATAAGATATAGTCTAGGTCCGTTCTTAAGCATAGGCATCTGGATTGGGACCCGAGAGCTTAACCAGGCCGCTTATCGACGTCACTTGCCATAAATTCTGCTGGCAATTATGTTCTCGCCTTATCTGTTTGGCCATCCAATGGCCAATTATATCCATCTAAAACTGCAAGCTGGGCTCTAATGGCAAAACGATCTGTACTCCGTGAATCCACAGCTTCTTTTCCCCATGCAGACGGTTTGTTTTGCTTTTCCGCTGTGGAGCATATTCTGCCCTCATCTACCGCCTTGTATACGTACGCAAGAGACACGCAGCATCATGTATACACATCACGCGGATTGCCGATCTCCGTCAAACGTGAGAGCTTTATAGCGATTGCCATCTTTCTGTTTAGCAAGAGTTTGAGAACTCTTCGTACAGCATCATGGACCAACCTCTCCAGCCGCAGCAGGGTGAACTGAACTGGCGTCTCAGCGCCCATCCGATCACTCTTCTGTTCTTCCTGGGGTTCCGCACCAGTGCGCTGTTGATGTATCTATTCGGTGTTTTATTTATCAAGAATTTGTAAGCGTCCCAAGTACTTGGGAGTTTACTGGTCACTCCGTCTCATAGCTTCTCTTCCGCTAACACAATTCACAGCGTCCTTGTCTTCATCCTAACTCTCCTCCTCCTCTCCGCGGACTTTTACTATTTGAAGAACATCGCCGGACGTCGATTAGTCGGCCTACGCTGGTGGAACGAAGTCAATACCGCTACCGGCGATTCCCACTGGGTCTTTGAATCCTCCGACCCTACCACGCGCAGCATCTCGGCCACAGATAAGAGGTTCTTCTGGCTCAGTCTGTACGTGACACCTGCGCTGTGGATCGGACTCGCCGTTTTGGCGATCGTGAGGTTGAGCAGTGTTATTTGGTTGAGTCTAGTGGGTGAGTTGTCCTATGCTGATATCAATAGTTGTAACGAAGTCAAGGGCTAATACAGTCTCAGCCATTGCRTTGGTGCTGACCATCACCAATACGGTTGCATTCTCCCGTTGCGATCGCTTTAGCCAGGCTTCTACGTTTGCTAACCGAGCGTTTGGGGGCAACATTGTGAATAACCTTGCTGGAGGTCTGCTGGGCAGACTTTTCAAGTAAACTGCGGCCGAATCTATGCCATGTATGATTCTGTGTCATTTCCTTCCAGGGACAGTAGTCCGAGATTCTCCTTACTTTTATGTCATTCTTAGGGATGAGACAGATAGCTGGAGCGTTGTATGACTATTCACAATTTTATACTAAAAATATAGGTGATTCTCAATCAAGCAGGATCGAATGATTATGAGATTACTGGGGTTATAATATGGTTGATGACCAAGTATGTTGATGGATTTGTCTTTTACACAGATACTAAGCTGGTTTCATGAGCACAAGGTACTTTTGTTATTACTGAGAATGTTACTAGGTACCTACGGCTGAGATAAAGTGAGAATTTTCAGACTGTATTATGCCTTCTGACATAGGGGTTACACATGCCTGTCACTTTTAGGGCAGCAGGAGTATTTAAGAGAGTTTATGACCCAAGATAATGCTACTCAGATTCTACTCTAGGGACTTTTAGTCTTAGAACAGGGGCCTAACTTTACATATCTCAGGCCCGTTGTTGGATTATACAGATTTGATGTACTAGAAATGTGTGATCTCACACACAGTCTTATCAAACCCGAGACAGGACTCTTTCAGATCATATGTCAGAGTATCCATCAAAGTCCTAGTAGTAACCAAAAAAAATCCGAGAAATTCGCGTTCTACCATATCCTAACCAAGCGCCATGGACCCTAATGTCTGCCTTGGAAGAATCCATGTCAATTGCAAGGCGGAAATCAAAGAGCATCAAACTATTTCACCCCTAATGCAGGTTGACTGTGCCGCAACCTCGATAGGAGTCTTTCAACGCCCTCGTGCCACATGAACAATCTCTCTGGGGTATGCAGCTAGCTCAAACGAGATGATGGGATGCGTAAACGGCTGCTTTTTGCTTTTTGCCTTCCTTTTTTTTTCTTTTTTGGGTTTCAATGGCTGTTGATTCTGTCTTGATATAACTAACTACCCTGATGTCGTTTGGTTATTAGAGGCAGTCTGTGAATAGGATTTTTGTGTTTGATTTTCACATACCTCCTTTTTTATTGATATATCAATATCTCTCTCTAATGGTTCTCATCAATGCATATTGTCCTGAGCAATACCAGCTCAAGTAGACACTCCCCTATTGTTATATACGGTTGCTTATAGGCAGCATTCAAGTCAATGATTCAGTAGACTTTGTTAAGCATAGAAGAGAGCTATGCTGCTCTTTCGGAGTCTTTCCATTCTGCTAAGGTGATACTTCACCGTCTGCTGGATGCACTCAAAGTCTCGGCGTAGAGGGCCGTTTTCACAGTCTCGGCGTAGCAGGACTTTTTCACACGATCTCAGCCAGTTCAGGCTTTGATCCTTTCCTCTGGTTTCAGCCTTTCCAGTCCTTCATCATCCTAATTGGTTTCTGTTGGTTACCAGCCCTTTTCCGGAGAAGATACATCGACTCATTAGCTGATTATCCTGGTCTTATTTGTCTTGTCCGGAGAGTCTGAGCCCAGGCAAACACAGCCAGTGCTGAAAATATCTTCCACAGCCAGGACAAATCCAGTATAAAGGCTTGGTTATACAGCCTTTTCTCAGACTGTGTCTTTTTGCTCTCTTTTTTGTTTGTTTCCTCAAGTCCCTTGTCTTTCTCGATGCCGAGAAACACAAAGATCCCTAGAACTCGCTGGTCAGATTCAGAGAAACGTCGGCTTCTCAATTACCGGGATAGTCATCCTGACTTGCCTTGGGATCAAATCAAGCTGGTAACATGACTAGACTTCATATATCTGAAGAATCATAGCTGACCTCTTCTGTAGGCTTTCCCAGGCCGCAGTGGGACTGCTCTCTGCAAGCAGTACTCTGTGAGTTGGGATGATACGAAGCAATATATGCATTGCTAATTCTTATAGGACCTGAAAATTGGACGTGAGAAGGACGCGCAGAAAAAGGTATGTTATCTCGTGGAGTATCTTGTGTAATAGTCAGAGCTTGATGCTAACGTACCTCATGCTGCAGGCGAACAATGGTAATAAAGCGAATGAGGAAATGGTATGTCATCTCATTTGTAATATCGCATGCAATAGTCAGAATTCATGCTAATATACCTTGTGTTGGTCAGGCGAACAATCAGAATAAAGTGACCAACACTACCCAGCTCAGTAAAGAAAACAAACGTCCGATGGACCTCGAAGGAGACGACGAGATGCTCCCCAGAAAGCAGCCGAGGACTGGGGATGTCGCAGCGGACGCTGATGATGACCCAGATTTCGATCCTAGCGAGGATAGTGACTCAGACGGGGGCGACATTGACCCTAGAGGTGACATTGGCCGCTCGCCTACTGCTCGTCAGCTTCGTAATACACCTCGCAAGCAGCTGAAAGATATTGTCGTGGGCTCGGCTTCTGGCCTCAAGCGCCCATCCAAGATTACAAAGCTCCAATTCACTGGTCAACCTGGTGCACGCGATTCATTCAGCACAACGCCCGCTAGCCCTGACCCTCGCACACAGCAGAACGCGAAAACATCTACCAAAATTACTAAATCTGCATCTGCCTCGTCTCGCCCAACACTTTCAGGTTCTCACTCTCCTGAGAAAGCAGCAGAAACGAACAAACCTTACGCAACCTCTGGAATAGCGTCACCGGTGCAGAGAGCTCGTCCAAGTTTATCTCCTGCAACCAGTCGTCATTCTGCACAGAATCAACAACCTACTGCCAACGAACATTCGCCATCAAAACCTGAACAGGAAATGGCTCCTCGTCCTCCCTCTCCTCCCCCCTCTGCAACCACTGCTCTTATGGAAGCTGGAAACAACGGATACCCATCCATGCAGCACGGTGCACACCTGCTTTTCCAGGCAGCCATCGCCATGAGAGATTTCCCGAGAGAGCGTGCCCGTACCGCGCAGTTGGAAGAGAACAATGACAATCTTATGATGGAGTTACTGAAGCTGAAGGAGAAGGAAGTCAAATGGAAACAAGAGATTGGAGAGCTCAAAGTCAACAACAGAAACCTCGAAGGCGACCTCAAGAAACAAACCGATCAAGTCAAGAAGCTCGAGGCTGGACTGAAGGAGATGAGCGAGAAGAATCAGAGTGCTCTCGATTCCGCCAATGGAGCCACCAATACCAAATGCGAGCACTGCCTTGAGCATGTCACCCGCCTCAACGCTCTAACCGAAGAGAATAAAAAAATCAAGCAGAGATGCAAGCTTTTGGCTGAAGCATTCGCGGCTGGCAATGATCAAGCCTGATAGTGATGCCAGACCAGGCTCACTTACTTACAAGCCAACTTGGTCATTAGCTTGGTCATTGCATGGGCTTGTGAGAAAGGGATCTGATTGCTGGCATAATGATTCTGGAGCTGGAGCTGATGACCTTTATGTACTTTTACTCATCGCCATCTTGGTGTTGTTCTTACCATTACTCGGGAGAACTTGCCCAGTTATCTCTGTAACTAGGGCTCTAATATGATGATTTATGACTTCTGAAATGATTCTTGTCTCATGGTAGAACTGTAGGATTGCCTATGTCGCGATACCGGACTGGTATGGTATGAAATGTACCTTAAGCCTATCAGTAGCTGGTACAATATAATCGCTCTTCGACAAATATGGACAGACGGAGAAAATGAAGCCATATAGCATGACGATAACTCCCAACTGCCTACATGATATAATGAAAACTATGGCAATCGGATGTTCGAGCTATATAAATCAGACTGCAGTTTCATCGGCGCTTGCGCAGAATCCATACAGGTCGGTTGTTTGCCTGAGGGCACAGGCATGCAACAGCTTGACGACGGGGAGTCAACGCTTTTCTTGTGAATATTGGCCGTCCGTGCAAGATTTTTCTCAGGAAACAAACAAAGGTTGAGGTGTTGTCGTTTGTTTGTTGCTCCTCGAGCTCACCTACTCTTCTTCCTCCCTCACTTTCTCTATTCTTCACGCATACCCCATTCATTTCCTCTCTACATATTTGCATCTTTCTGAATCTGTTCCCTTTCTTTACTTGATTTCTCTAAGAAGACTCGTGTAGGGGTAAGTCTTTCCACTATGCTTTGATCAATTCAAGTCTGCCGGAATACTTTTGATTGTCGTCCATCGAACACGTTCTGTGTGTTTCTGAAGATTTTCCATTTGGGCATTTGCCTTTTCCATTTCTTTACCAAGAAAGACATCTATTTAAAATTCTCACAGAAGCATATGTTACGAAGCCAAAGCTTTGACAACACCGACGTCTAACTTGCTTCTCTTTTAGTTCAAGCGTAAGCCAACAGTCAAAATGTCTGGCTGGAACTCCGGCGAGGCAGATGCCTGGAATTCCGGTGAAGCAAGCAGCTGGAATGACAACAACGGCGCTGGTACGTACGCCTTCGTACTTCCTTCCAGCAGTGGTAGATGAGTTGACAGTCCTGCTCTGTTGTGGGGAGCCTCATCATCTCGTGCCGGTACCGGCAAGGACAAGAGCTGCGGAAACGTGTATACTCACTTTTTTGCTTAGCAGGTTTCGCTGACGAGAATGTCAACCCAATCAGCTCCACTCCTGCTGGAGACTTCGGCGAGAGCAAATGGGGCGGTGATCACTCTGGTGGTCAGTTCGAGCCTACCTCCGGCGCTGGCGAAGACGGCAATGACAGCAAGTGTCGCAAGTATGTGTCTTCCTCGTTTGGGAAGCTCTACGAGGTTTCTGCTGCTGACAAGGCCCAGTTGTGGAGGTGATGGTCACTTTGCACGTGAATGTCCCGAACCTCGCAAGGGTATGGCTTGCTTCAATTGCGGCGAGGAGGGGTAAGTAGTTCTAAGTTACAAGTCATGTTTGTCAATGCTAATGTTGTATAGTCATTCCAAGGCAGAGTGCACCAAGCCGCGTGTGTTCAAGGGTCCTTGCCGTATCTGCAGCAAGGAGGGACACCCGGCTGCGGAGTGTCCTGATAGACCCCCTGACGTGTGCAAGAACTGCCAGTCCGAAGGTATGTGCGTAGCCTTGCGCAGATAGATAAAGGTAGTAACAAAAGCATGCCCCAGGTCACAAGACTATCGAGTGCACCGAGAATCGCAAATTCGATCTGAACGATATCCCTGACAAGCTTCCCGAGGAGGCCTGGGCTGCCCTCAAAAAGGCTAGTGACGAGAGAGACCTGGAGGACTTCCGTGAGGTAGGTCAATTTCATTGACTTATTCGCATTGTTGATATATACACCTGGAACACAACGGTCGGTTGCTGACAACCCTTCAGGGCCTCAAGGTCTATTCCAAGGCGGTTCCTCAGGCCACTTTTGTGGATATTGAGAAGAAAATGCGCGAGGAGAATTTCAACATTTACCTTATTGGCATGGTTTGTTCGGAAGCTCTTCATGTTGTACGATCCTTGAGAAATACTGATGGTGTCTATTACTGCAGGAGAAACCAGTCGGGGACAGCATCAGCTTGATCAATCTCCAGGGCAAGTTGAACTGCAAGTATGTTGTTGCGTTCTACTTCAGCCCTAAGCCGCAGCGCGCCAACCTCAAGGAACGGTGGCCCGCCGACCCCGAAGAGAACCTTGAGCGCCTTGAGGACGCTGGCTTCCCTTACGATAGGCAAATTCCCAAGTGCAGTAACTGCAGTGGTAAGCAAGAACTTTTTCTGCTTGGATGTCGCTGCTCTTAGGAATAATGCTAAAAAAGGGCAGAAATGGGTCACACTGCTCGTGGTTGCAAGGAAGAGCGTGCTCTGGTTGAGCGCGTTGAAGTCAAATGTGTCAACTGTAACGCCAATGGACATCGTGCTCGTGACTGCACTGAGCCTCGCGTCGACAGGTTTGCCTGTCGTAACTGCGGGTATGTCGTTCTTCTCCTCTTCATCTTCCGAGGCTTGTGTTGACTTGAACAGATCCCCGGAGCATAAGGCAGCCGACTGTCCCAATCCCCGCTCTGCTGAGGGTGTCGAGTGCAAGCGCTGCAATGAGAGTAAGTGCTACGTTTGGATGTCGCTGACCACCACACATGCATATACTGATGACTGCAGTGGGCCACTTTGCAAAGGATTGTCCTCAGGCACCTGCCCCTAGAACCTGCCGCAACTGCGGGTAAGTCACGGAGAAAGGAGGTGTTGTCACCGTCGACATTCTAACTGCAGCAGATCTGAGGACCACATGGCGAGAGATTGCGACAAACCTCGCGATGTGTCAACCGTAACTTGCCGTAATTGTGACGAAGGTAAGATGCCATTTGCAGAGACGATGGGCTATATGTGGTACCTAAAGTCTAACGGATGATATTCTAGTTGGCCACTTTAGTCGTGACTGCCCCCAGAAGAAGGACTGGTCCAAAGTCAAGTGCAACAATTGTGGTGAAAGTGAGTGATTTGTCAAGGGATGCCAGATGTAATGATTATATGTTAACCAATGTAACAGTGGGCCACACCGTCAGGCGCTGCCCCCAGGCTGCCGGTGAGAGTTTGGGTCAGGAAAACAACGACATCCAAGACAATGCCGCGGGCGATGATTGGAATACTGCTGCCCCCGTCAGCAACGAGAATACTGATGGAGATGCCGAAGCGGGCGGTTGGTCGGGCGGTTGGTCGGGCGGTGGTGGTGGATGGTAAATATCTGGGCGCATGGTGGAGAACGCTGTGCCTGGTGGTGTCTGCCGTTCGGTTGAAGATTGACGATGTCTAGATTTGATGCCATGCGCAAGCGTCGTGATCGTCCTTGGATGTTGTCTGCTCGACCGCTTTGACCATTTCCGGTCTACCCTCGATGCTACTGCCAGTGTACTCCATATTCGCTAGCCCCCTGCCTTTGCTGCCGTCGCAGGCTATCCAAACTCAACCGGGCGGGCCCGGAACTCTTCTAAACCAGATCTGAAGGAAGACATTCGAGGTACAACCGGACAGAGGGCTCGCATTGACTGTTGACTGTTTGTGATGTGGTCGACGGAAGGCAGCCGTTCGGTCTGTGATCTCGGATATAATGAATTTACGACTTGATATAAATGACCTCCGGTGTAACATTTAGATGATCCGGCCCGACTCCCTGTAGCCGGGTTTGTAGTCCTACGCAGAGCTCAGACCTGCATTATCGGCCTTTGACTGCTCCAGTAGTGTAGATGTACCCGATAACCCATCTTACCAAAACCACCATTGATGAATCGGCACCGTTCCTGAATCGTAGCGGCGCTTTGGAGTTTGAATCCAAGGAGCGAATGAATGGGGTCGATTAGTTTCTCGTTTAATGTCTACAATGACCATTCACTCGACCTGTTCGACAATCGAGATCGCATTTCGTGAGAAATGTCCCTCCATCTAATTACTGAACATATATATATATGTGGTAGCTCAAATCGAATGAGATTAGGGCCATGGAGGATTTCCGGCCGGCTGTGGCGTCACCGTATCATGGATCGAATACGGGAGCTTAGGCACCGATGGTGTAGGTTTGTAAATTAATGAGGAGGTTCAATAGAGTATAGACACTTGAAGTTGAGCCACTGCCGTCATTAGGGGACGTGAAAGTTAAGATTATAAGCCCAAGGTCGAAAGTCACATGTTATTATGAATGCTACGTAAAGGTTGAGCTCCAGCGAACGTAAGGCGCAGTCAATGGTAAGCATACGGACTTACCACGAGCAATGGAAATCCAAACGGCCTATTATGATTTATGGGTCTTGTCAAAGACTCAAACTATCGACGACGAAGCGAAATGAGGCGAAATGGTATGATATGACCTGGCCGGAATCTCCTGAATAGGCAGTTCCGGCGGGTCTCCAGCACAGGCAGACATAGCAACGGTGCAACATCAACCATCAACAGGCCATCAATAACGGCTAAACGAGTCAATCAGAGCAATGCAGACGGTGGAGCGGCTGTGCACGTTCCGTTTCAGTCGCGCTTGACCCTCCCGAGTTGAGGATACATATGAGGACTCTGATGGAGGGTAGGCGACTATTCGTGTTCTCCACGTTTAGTTGGTCCAAGTTGGAATGGTCAAAGAGGCATGGCGAGACAAGCGACCTGGGGAAGTGGACCGAAGGTACCAACTACCAACTACCAACTAAGGCACTTTGGTAATTGGTATCGTAGACCTACAATTCACAAATAAGCATTCACGCGTCTCTACTAAGAGTTATGTATATTGGTCCTAGTCACTCTGCAGCATAGTCTTCCTTGAATCCGTGCTTTTTCTTTTCTCATGCTTTCTGGGGGTTGCCCCGGTCTTGGTGGTGGGCCGATCGTATTCTCGGCGAAGACACTGGGCATCCCGGACTGGGTTT